CAGGCCCAATGGGGCAAAAAAAGAAACGTGCTCTCCAATTATTGGTTATGTTTCTCCCGAGACTCAAATTACATAAGACTTTGTCCTTAAATAGTTAATTTACATAACATCTGACCTCTCTGGCTGCTCTCCCAGAAAGAGCTGAACCTCCTGTAGCTGTCTGGGAAAGTTTGCTTCAAAAAGTCACATTTAGATCGAAACCTCAAGGTCGTTTTACCTAAATACTGTGATCTCTTCATCAAACAAGCTTTGCCTTTTAGCAAATCGCCACTTTTCGCAGCTTTACCGACGTTTGTTGTCGTTCCCGCCTCTCTGCAGCATCTCCTCGACAAGCTGTGTAAGGAGATCGAGAAGGACCTGCGCCTCTCCGTCCACACCCACCTGAAGCTGGACGACAGGAACCCGTTTAAAGTCGGCATGAAGGACTTGGCCCACTTCTTCTCCGTTAAACCAATCCGATTCTTCAACCGCTTCATTCACATCAAAGGTGCAGAGAATCGGTCAGACGCCTACACGTTTCTCATTTTACGGGCAGATTTCTTGGTCTTGCTGACACTTTTTCAGCAAGACCTCTGAATAAGGTCCGTGAATTGCATCCATAAATCTGCTCCGTCCGGTTCAGGGTCAACACACGCTCGCGTGCGAACATGCAGGACGTTTTTACTCTGATTGTTTAGAGAATCTCTGCCTGGTTGCAGATTTTTGAACTCGCAGTTGAATCCGTCCCTTATTATTCAAAATGCTCTTTGAGGGTTTCAACCAGGGGCAGGATTTTCTTCTTTTTTTTTTTTCCCCCCCAGAAGTTTCACAATAAAAATTTGACTCATTTTACAATCCTATTTTAGCACTTAGCTTATTTGTAAAATAGATCATTTTATTTCCAGGATATTTAAGGTTTGAAGGAAACTCGAAGCGTTCCAGAGCTGGGAAAGAGTTAAATTTCATCAAAACAAAAAAAATTTATCTTTACCTCTAGGAATATTTAAGAATATTTTCTTTTTTTTTTTTATTAAAGTAAAGTGATCAGCTGATGCATGGATTCTTTTTCATTTGCTCTGCTTAGTTCACTAATGCAGCTCATAAACAAACCAACAATGTCTTCCCCTGGAACAGTAAATCCCGTTTACTTAAAGCCTAAGCCTGACTTTCTTTTAAAGATTTGCAGAAGTTGAGATTAATTTTTGCTTTTAACCGCCTTGCAGCCTATGTGACCCACTACCTGGACAAAACTTTCTACAACCTGACCACCGTTGCTCTGCATGACTGGGCCACCTACAGTGAGATGAGAAACCTCGCGACGCAGCGCTACGGGCTCACGATGACGGAGGCGCACCTGCCCAGCCAGACTCTGGAGCAGGTCCGGAGGCGCACCTCGTCACGAAGGGAGGCGTCAGCAGACGACTTTATTAACTGTACCCCGTCTGCTCTCATTCAGGGTTTGGACGTCCTGGAGATCATGAGAAACATTCACGTTTTTGTCTCGCGCTACCTCTACAACCTGAACAACCAGGTAGGACTCGTCCACCCGTAAGGCGCAGACGCTCCTGCTCACAGCGGGCTCTGAACTGATGCTTCCTCTGCAGATCTTCGTGGAAAAGGCGAGTAACAACAAGCACCTCAACACCATCAACATCCGTCACATCGCAAACTCGATTCGGACGCACGGCACGGGCATCATGAACACCACAGTGAGTTTTCATCTGGACGTGTTCTCCCTGTTGTCTCGACTGGAGCTTTTCTTTCGTTTTGCGACGTCTCGTTTCTCCCGTCAGGTCAATTTTACCTATCAGTTCCTGCGGAAAAAGTTTTACATCTTCAGCCAGTTCATGTATGACGAACACATCAAGTCCAGGCTCATTAAGGACATCCGCTTTTTCAGGGAGATAAAGGATCAGTCTGACCATAAGGTAAGGGATTTCAGCAGCTTGGAACAATGAGGTGGATCCACTCCTGAAATGTTGAATTCTGTCCTTCTTTGCCTTTTAGTAAATCTCCATTTTTCAGCAAGAGGTTAATGCATTCAGGTTCATGTGCAGACTCGGTTTTCCCTCCGCATATTGAGTTTTTACTTGTTTGCTAGAAAGTTGCATTTAGTTCTTATCTGACCCCTGAGTTCCTTCCTCCACGTTTCTGCTACATGACTTGTGGCAAACTTTAAACTGGACTTCTTATCACTTTCTTTCTTCTTTCTTCCTGCTGCTCGTCCAGCAGGAACTGCTTAATATGTAGCTCTTATCCATTAGTGCATGAAATCAGACCAATAAAACCCACATGGTGATTGGTTGATTGATTTGCTTACTGATTCTGTGACATCTTGACATGTGACTGTCTTATGCTGAATCTGCATAGGAGTGTTGAACTAGTATAAAATACTTTTAAAAAGGCACTGTAGATGTATTCTCTAATTCTCTCTGTGCTACTCCCTTCCTTTTATCACTCACATTTATGTTTGTGTGTGTGCGCGCGTGTGCGCGTGTGTGTGTGCGTGTGTGTGTTGCAGTATCCATTTGAGCGTGCAGAGAAGTTTAACCGCGGCATCAGAAAGCTCGGCCTCACTCCTGACGGGCAGAGCTATCTGGATCAGTTCAGACAGCTCATCAGCCAGATCGGTGAGAATTTCTCCATCACATAAGGAAAATAAATAAATAAAAAAAGCCTCCAACTTGCATGTGAAGATGAACGCAGTGCCCTTTTAAAACCACTTTCCACTTTCTTTCAGGCAACGCCATGGGCTACGTCCGCATGATCCGTTCTGGAGGCCTTCACTGTTGCAGCAGCGCGATCAGGTATAAGAAATTTAAGTAATCTTCTCAGATCTGATCTGTGCGGATCCTATTTTTTATTTTTTTTTAAGTAAGCTTTCAGCAAAGCGTTTCATCGTTTTCAGATTTGTCCCCGACCTGGAAGATATAGTCAACTTTGAGGAGCTCGTTAAGGAGGAGGGACTCTCTGAGGAAACCCAAAGATCTGCCAGGTAGGAGCTTTGGTGAAAAGTTTTCCAGTCTTCACTGTTAGGTGTGCTTCTGTATTTTGTCTGCAGGTGGCACCACAGCCATTCAGATAAACAGAAAGCGTCCGCTTCTCTCATGGTCGTTTTTGTTTTCCCCCAGGGTCCTGGATTCAGTGTTGAGCGATCTGACCAGCAACTCTGCCGAGGGGACGGAGTACTTCAAGAAGCTGGTGGCCGTGTTTGCCCCCGAGTTTCGTAGCGCCAAGAACATGCACCTGAGGAACTTCTACATGATCGTACCGCCGCTGGTCAGTGCTGCGCGATGCTTCAAGCTGACATCTTGTTGTTTTTATGCGAAAACTTTTCTAATGACACCCTTCCAAAAAAATAAATAAATAAATATCTCACTTTCAGACTGTGAATTTTGTGGAGCACTCAATCAGCTGTAAAGAGAAACTCAACAAGAAGAACAAAACCGGAGCTGCCTTCACAGACGACGGCTTTGCCATGGGTCAGCACAGTCGGAGAGTAAAATCATCCTGCTGATCTTTTGCTGCTGTCAGCTGATGTTTGGTTTTTCTGTTTTGTTCTTTTTTTTTTACCTAGGTGTTGCGTACATCCTGAAGCTGCTGGACCAGTACCTGGAGTTCGACTCTCTTCACTGGTTCCAAGCGGTCCGAGATAAGTACAGGAAAGAGCTGAGCGCGGTGGCGAAGGAGCAGACGGTGCAGTCCGCCGGTCAGGACGAGAAGCTGCTGCAGACGATGAATCTCACCCAGAAGAGGCTGGATGTCTACTTGCAGGTGTTTAAGAAACTCTCTTGAGTGGCAATGATGATCCACATGTAATCTTCGGTGTATTTTGTGTGAAGGACCAACACACAGGATTAGGAAATACGTTTTTTTCAAATATTTCACCCATGAAAATCCACCTAAATAAAACCAGTTCTCCTTCTGACGTGGCTTAATTAGTAAACAGCGGATTTATTTGTAATTCTGCAAAGTTTCTGCTAATAAAACTCTCTCTGCTGGCGTACATTTTACAGTTCTCTCCTCTTTGCAGGAGTTTGAGCTGCTCTACTTCTCATTAAGCAGCGCGAGGATCTTCTTCAGAGCCGACCAAACCGCAGCCGAGGAAACCCAGGAGAAGAAAGGTAAAGCTTGGCGTGCTGTTGTCAGCTCGGTCTGTCCGTCACGCTTGGACCCACCCCGTCCAGCTGTCACGGGTTCGTCTTTGTAGATCATTTTTGAAATGCAAAGTTGGTCTCAGAGGTTGTTTTTGTCCTTCAGACGAAGCTGGGAAAGTGGGAATGTCTCCGGAAGGCTCCACGCCTGCAGAGTCGTCCTCAAAGTAAGAGTCACTTTGAGACCGTTCTGGATTATTCCTGAGAGCTCTGCAGAGGAACGATCCCACTCGTGCGTTTGAGGACAAAAGACTGAAAAATTCACCAAACAATGGATTTGTTTGATGTCCCAGTTATCCTAAAGTCTGTGTGCTTTAAGTGCTAATACAGGAAGTGTCTCTAAACATCCAGTGGGTCATTTACACAAGCCCCTACTACTTGAACTAATTTAAGGTAAAAACAAAATCATTTTTATCTTGCCTCGCCCTCGGCAGACTGAGGAAATGTCTACAGACAAAGTTTTCATTATTTGTTTCAAGTGTTTTGTTTCTTTGAGCATTTCATACATTTTATAAATGAATCATATGTGCCTTCATAAACTCTGGGTACTTGTTTTGGTAATTCATGTGCAGACAGTAAACTCCACAGCCGATGCAAATTCGCCATTTCATAACTCAAAGATTTTCCCGGTGGGAAAATGTCGAGCACTTTCTCCGAAATTGTTCACATCTGAGTGGAAAACATTCACCTGATTTTGGTTTTGTCATCTGGATGTTAATGAGATTGTTTAAAATCACAATTCAGATGACTTCACAGTTTTTCTAACATTTGGACCAACTTAGATCAGATGTTTTGAAATTAATGCCATATATAAACCTTTTTTTTCCGTCATATTTAGATTTATTATTTCTCTTGCAGCAAGTAAGATGTCTGGAAACTCCCAATATTCACAATGTTTTTTTTTTATTCGATACCTTTCCAAATAGTAGGAAGGTACAATGGCTGTCACTTAGTTCCCGACATTTTTCACATTGTTATTTTCATGCATCATATGCATGTGGTGCACATGTAGCATTAAGAGCTTTGTTCTAGGTTGAGGGTTAAAGTTAGCAAAGGTCTAGTTGCACAGGTTCAGCTAACGTCCATTTAAAATGTGTAATGTCTCAATAAATATAAAGAATATGGTCTTAGTTGGGTTTCAATAATTCTTTTTTTCTTTTGCCCTTAAATTTATGATGTGGCTTCATCATCTTTGATGAAGTCAAGGATCAGGTCTTAGTTTACAGTTTACATGCACTAACCAGATAATCTGCAGTCTTCACAATCTCTTCCTTTATGTCCCCATTCCTCCCTACCATGTGAAGATATCAGAGCAGCACAGGCGCTACTGCAGACCTCAGTTCATTTCCTGAGGTGTGGTGAGGAATATTGAAATTATTGACGTGTAATAAACGACACAGTGGTTCAGGAAAGCTGTGTCTGCTTTAATACAAAGGAAAGAAGCTTTGACTTCAAAAAATACAAGACTGGTTTCGATTTGTTTTAAGCAAATCCAAGTTTTCTCATTTCCCTATGAAGTAGTGTTCACTACTGTTGAAACAGCCTGAATTAAAAATGGATCCCTACTTCTTTTTTTTTTTACTTTGGCCTGCAACTACAAGGATCGCTTCTTACACTTCTGTCTTTCCTTTCGAACTGGGAAAAGTGAGATTTAGGCCTTTCCGTTATTGATGTTTTATTAATATTACTTTGATGTAAGTGCCCACAGTGCCAAAATGACACCCTGTCCAGCAGTTCCAGAAAATTCGTTACATCCACATATCCATGCTCGCCTCATAAAAAAAGAGGTACAAGGCAGGGCAAAATTTCTCTCAAAATAGATATCATATAGATATATATATTTATATATACAGACATATATATATGTAGCAATCATATATACACATTCGTACATATAGTCTTATGTGATGCAAAAAACAAAATGTACACATTTTCTTTTTTCCTTACAAAAATAGTAACAAAGACTGGAAAGTGTTTTGCTTGCTCTCGAGCAAAGTTGTGTTATTTGTTCCGCCTCTTCGAGGATTTCCCCACGATGGTGGAGACCGAAGTCGCCTCGCAGGGTTTTAACGTCCATGTTTTGCTGGCACAGAAGTCACAAACGGAGAGAGGTGCAGAAAAGAGTCGGGTGGAGCAACTGCAAGCAGTCGGAGGAAGTGATGTAGTTCGATGGAACACGATGAAGGAAAGTGTACAGAAACCAAATCCGAGACAAAACAAAAAAAAAGATGGAAAATGTGATGGGAGTGTTATAAAAAAGCACAAACAAATTTTGTGTTCTTTTATTACTAAATATAGTGCAACAATAAACACTGCATTTCTTTCACCCTTTCACTTGTGTTTGAGGATGTCAACTTTGCTCTTTTTTTATTTCTTCCCACCGCTTTGTGTTCTGAACACTTGCTGTAATTAAAAGGTGAAACCTTTGCTCTGTCATAGTCCCGCATCACACGGTTTGTCCTCCTCTCTGGTAGTAAACAGGCTTCAGGTTCAGAGACGTAAACATAACACAAACCCTGCTCAAAAGACAAAAAAAAAAGAAAGAAAAGAAAATAAACAAACGGGAACGCAGAATAAAAACGGAACAAGTGTGTTTTTCGGGCAGAATGTAAATTCAGAAAGGCAGGACAGTTTTAATGATGACGACTTCGATGACGACGACCCCTGCAGTCGGTTAGCCAAATCCTCCAGGAATAAAAACCCAAAGCTGTGTGCGTCACAGCGCCCCCTCCTGGACAGCAGTGCTGTGTTCAAGAACAGCTGCAGCCTTTGGACTGGTTGGGCCTTAGAAGGCCTGCTGGGCTGGATTGTAGTTGAACGTTGTCGGCACGTGAGGCCTCTCTTCCAGCTTGTCATATTCCAGATGAAACTCCTGAGAGATGCAGGAATCGTTTTTAAGCTTCGTCGCTCTAAAGCACAACAATCACTGCATCTAAAGCACACGGCCTCAACTCTCACCTTGGCTACTTTCCTCCAGTTGAGACAGTCGAAGAAGTAGTAGGTGCCTCTCTCGTAGGTGTTGGTCTTCAAGGTGGGCTCCATCCCGGGCGCCCTCGTTATCCAAACCCGCTCCTCTTTGTGGTATCTCCAATCCCGGTTGAAGCTGGACAGCAAGCAGAGGAAAAACCCGAGAACAAACAGTAAATCTCTACATTGTGGACAACCGGAGTTCATCGAGTCAAATTTGGAGGTTTCTAGAGAAGCAATATTCTTCAATTTGTAAAATTTGAGGACATCTTGACAATTAAAGATGTCAAACGTTGTCCAAAAGCACTGATCAGTTTTGCATCTGATAGTTTATGTTTTGTTTTGTTTGCAGATTTGCTTTGCCAATGGCAATTTAAGATGATTCTGATCACTCTTAAATAATTAAAAAGTTTCATAATGGCTTTAAAAATATATTTTTTAGTCTTTGAAAAGTCAGTTATTTGCTGTATATGAAAGTAGAGGCAAGGTCAAAATGCCTGTGTGAAAACAGTTCAATGAAGCAGGTTTTATTTTTATTCATTTCTAACTGAATGAGCTTTTTCACATCTCTGTGCTCCGTTTGACTTCATTTCAAACAGCTGACAGTGGAAACGTTTAATTTCACTCAGTAAAAGCATCCACACTGAAGAGTGCAGATACCAGTAGAGCTTGGTGCATTCACTGTCAAGAAAAAGACCAGATTTTTGAGTTTTGAACCCGCTGGTGACTGGTCATATCAAACTGAACCTCCTCAGGTTTTGATCACCAGCTGATTTTACCTGCATATCGAACGTATTTACACGTTAGAAACCAAGTGACTCACAGCTCCACAGCTGCCAGGATCTGAAGCAGGTCCCCTCCGTTCATGTAGTACAGGTAGAACAGCAGGTCTTCGCCGTATCGAGCCAACTTAATTGCAGCTAACTGCACACAGGACAGTTTAAAACATGTAGTTATTTATTTTTTCATAACCTCTAATTCAAAACTAAAGCGGTGTCTGGCGCTCCTAGTTACCTTGTCCCTTATATGGATGTTGGTTAAATACTCTGACGGAACATGGAAATCTAAGAAGATAAATCCAAATACCAGTTATTTTATTTCAGTCGCCACACAGACTCCACCAGAACACAAACTTATAACAAAAGTATCCGCACCTGTCGAATTGTTTCACATGTTGAAAGTTTACAACAAACTTTAATGTATTTCATTAGGATTTTAGGTAACAGACCAATCCCAAATAGTGCATAAAGATACATGTTCTTACTAATAAATGCCTTTCCCCACTTATCAGCCCTCCCATTACATACAATTCAACGTGCATTGGATTTTATTAGATACTCCTTAATAAAATCCAATGCAACTGCTTTGTTAACAAATAGTCCATCTGTATAATTTAAATCCAGCTGTTCCTTCGAGGATGCGTTCCTCTCCCCCTCTCTACATAAACGGCTGCTTATATCAAGCTGAAACTCATCAGATTTCTATCACCAGCTGCACCTCAGCAGACCCATCTGTTGAAGCAGACGACACCAGTCTGCAGATCAAACCACTTACTGGTCTGATCCAGGCACAAACTCGGCAACAAAAGCTGATTCTGATTGTGGTCTTGGTGTGGTGATGATGGTCATAAATAACAGGAGGATTAATGGGGGGGATAAATACAGGGCAGACCCGGAAGAACACATGCTAGACTTTGTGTTTGTCTATCTTATACCTCCTAATGAAACACGTTAAAGCTCGTCGTCGTCACATGACCACATTTGGAAATCTCCAAGCGGAGATTGACAGTCAAAAAAACAACTTCCTGTAGTTGAAAGTGTTTCTTAGTTCAACTAATCAGAGCCGCGGTCTTACCGATGTCTTGAGGTCGACATGGTGCAGAAGCCCAAGGAGAGGCGAACTTTGGATACAAGTTTCTGTCAAAATAAAAACTCTCATGACTCCCATGGATGACAAGGTTCTTGGAGGAACAAAACTGAGGTAGCGGTGAGTGAACAACAGGTTTTAAAGGTAAAACGGCCATCTTACTCTGGTGAATTTAAGTTGAGTCCCAGCGTTGTGAGGTCACTTCCAAGCGCCAGATGCACCATCCCCGGGTCGGTTTCTGCGGCCCGGATAAACGTCAGCAGGCCCACCATGCCGAATTGGTCCGTTACCATTCCTGAGGGAATGTTTGTCACCCGACCTGCAGCAGAGGAGCGACCCAGAGTCACCAAACCACAGGTCAGCAGTGAGCTGGTGACCGACAGAAAGTACTTACTGTGAAACCAAAGCCACATTTTTACACTGTAATTTATGCACAAAGTAGACAGCAAACCAAGCCACTTACTTCTCCTCAAATATAACATTATAGCCTGTTTCATGTTCAATATTACACTGCTTTGCTCTATCCCATCTGACAGTTATCAAACCCCAAATGCAGGGTAGCGAGCCCAGCTGCCTCACCCAAGTTGTGGGATTAAGAAGGGATGTCTCAGAGGAATTGGAGCGATACGATTGGCTGAGAAGTCTCACCATCGGGCAACACCTGGATCCCTTTCTTCTGGTTGTTGTTCTGTGCCGAGGTCGTCTTGTCTCCAGGGAACTTCGGACCATCTGTGCTGGATGTGCTCTTGCTTGTGGAGTTCAAGTTCTGATCAATTAAAAACGAAGAAACAAAATTAAGATTACATTTTTTAACTCTGCAGTTGTCACAAAATAAATAAATAAATAAATAAATAAAAAGAAGAAGGAAAAAGTACCAGAGTGGCTTTAACTTACAGTTTTGCTGTCATCGTTGTTGAGTGTGGGGTCTTTGTAATTTGGCCCAGGCAGTGCGGGGAAGTCCTCGTTATGTATGGAGAAGTCTTGTGTCTGATCAGTCGATGGCTTTGTTACCATGCCAACTTCAACAGTTTTAAACAGCGAGAAAAAAAAAATCCCAGCAAAACAATAAACATGAGCAATTATTCTTAGTGTTGAGACAACCTGCTCTAAAACAAACCCTATTAGTGGTTTTGCGAAGCCAATGGAGCGGCTGTCGATGCAACATTAGCTCTCCTCTAATGGCCTACCATAAGGAGCGCGTCCAGCCAGCGGGTTCAGAACCGGTGTTGGATTTCCAGTCCCTTCTCTCCGACTCCGGTCTGCTAATGCGGGGAAGTCTGACAGATCCAGGCCCATTATATTATCACTCCCATCTGCAGCAACAGGAAGAGAGTTCAATTTTAAAATTCCACATTTTTTCCCCTGACCTCATTTTTTCAGCGGTTTATAACGAGCACAAAACATTTACTTGGATTCATCATCCGTATGTTCAACAAATAACAAAAAGAAACACATTCAAAAAATTATTTTAGCTTCCAGCAGTTTTGTAAGGAGCAATTTGAGAGCTTCTTTAGCAGCTGCATCACTTTGAATCGTCGTCTGTTTTCTGAAATATATCCTTTCAGTTTTTCTCCCTACCCCATTCATTAATAGAATAAAATACATGAATAACTCAAACAAATGAACTTTTCTAATTCACTGAATGGTTGTGTATGCAAATTTACATATGAATATGTTTTGTACATATTAAGTCCACGCTAAAATGATCAGAAAGAACAATGAGTCATCATTGCATCACATGCTAAAAGCAGATATCATGCCAAAGAAGTAAAAAGGAGAAAAGTGGTTTTCAGTTTAGGAAGAAAAAAAAAGAGCAATCTTTTATGCTTCGTGTTTGCAGACAAGCATGCCTGCTTATGCTGAAAACAACTGACCAACTTTATGTTTCCTATTTCCAAACAATGGACCTTCATAGTTGGTGTCTCTTCATTCAGGTTCCTCACCAGGCTCAGCTAGGATATGTGTTAGTCTGCATGCAGTCGAGTGTTTTGGTGGTGAGGCCATGAAGGCCGCGACTTTAGATAACAGCTTGTTTGGGTTCTGAAGAAGATCCTGTATAAGACCCAAAGGTTTGGGATAAAACAATGATCTAAGATGGCGTAAAGCTGAACAAAATGTTCCTCTGTTCCCCAATTTGGGTTCTCTTCTCTCTGACAAACTGTAAACCCAAAAAGAATAAAAAGCTGGATAATAATGTGGAAGCTGTGTTATGACGGACCAAAGATGGCAGGAATTGCAAACAGTGACAACAGGACCAGTGCGCTAACTTTTCAACACGTGTCACAACCGAATTTTATGGCCAAAAATACCCACTGAGTTATATGAAAAGGTGCAATGGGTGAAGATTTGGTCTTTAAGCTCTTTTGACCTTCAGGTCAAATCCACCAACCTGTGCCATTGAAGATGTTGCTCGATAATGAATTGTTCATCCCAAAAGCTTGGTTGCGGTTCATACCAAATCCTGACATGCTGCAGATAAAAGCAACAGTTTGACAGTGTACAGCCGACCTCCACAAATACCCACCCCGTCCCATCAGACTACGAAGGCCTACCTGTTGATGGTGCAGGGCTGCCGCGCTGGCTGCTGTTTGGGCATACAGATGATGCTGGGTGAGCTGCGGTTCGGACTTCCCAACCCTGAGCTGCCCATGCTGCTGGTCCTGCCGGTTAACCCGATGCCCTGACCGACCTGAGAGAGGTTCAGGATGTTTCTCGATATTGTTCCCCTGCGGAAAAACCATCGGAAGGTAAATGCGTTTTCCCTCAGGCCTTTGCCTATACCGCTTCAAATTTCAGCCTCAGAAAACGGCACACACCTGCTTGGCGAGGAAGGGGTGTGTAGGGACATGGAGGGGACACCCGTTGTTGGGGTGATGTGACTTGCTAGCTGCGTCCCTTGTGTTAGGTTTCGGTTTAACTGAGGCGTACTGTTTCCCATGTTCCTTACTGGGAAGCCGATTGCACCTGCAGGAAAATAAAACAACAGAAGGCCAGGAATAAAAATGAAGCATTTGCAAACGAAAGAGAAAACTTTCCAGTTCACATCTGCTTAGTTGTAAGCACTCAAAACGTCTTAAGATGCGCAAATACAAGAAATGGTGTGAAACTTTTGTCCAGTAGCCCTTCAATGAGAAAGACAGAGGAACTCACTTTGTGGACCGTACAAACTCACGCCGAGCTGCGACAACTGACTGGACGACGATGGCGATGGAGAGGACAACATCTGGAGGACAAGAGTCATTGACAACTGCAGCAAACGTTACAGACAAGATTCTTCTGCAGCGTTAGCCGGTGTAAGGGTCAAAAAACCGGCACAAAGGTCAAAACTTACATCTTTGTCCGACCTGTGGAACATGGACTGGTTGTAGTACATGTCATCGGCCAAGTCGTTGTCGACTCCGTCGCCGAAATCTGGAAAGGGTTTTCTAGAACCGAACATATTTTTTTTTTTTTGGTCACCTAAGGAAAAAAGATAACTTATATTAAAGATGATAATTCAGGAAACAAATAAAAAAAATGATGAAAAAAAAAAAAACAAAGGCAGCATTTGCTGAGCTCTAATTGTTTTAATTTGATTTGTCTTTACATTCATTAACACCAGAAACTCACTGAGTGAGATCATTTTTATTGCAAATCTAGTTAATGCCTGGAACAAATCTACAATTTTTTTTTTAATCAGATTTAGCTCTTAGGAATATTGTAAGACACTATTAGAAGTCAGGTAACCATTTTTAAGCAGTTTTGAATCTCTTGTAGTCTAAGGATGGAGACAAACAGATTTAAGTCTCGACCACATTAAAAACCAGGCCTGAAACAAGATGCTGAGTGTGTTATATATTTTATCTTTGAGTGGCCATTTTGTTACAGCTGGCAGGTGTATAAATTATTAATTTATTTGTTATATGCAGGGCAGCACAGAGCTATTTACACCTAATATTTAATCACAGGAGAGCACTTTCTCCCACTACACTTATTTTAGTAAAAATGCACAAAACTGACTTCAGAGTTCAGAGTTCACTGATAGATGCTGCTCAGTAACATTTCATGCTGTATATAGAGACTCGGTTATTAAATTATTAAGCTAATTAAAATAAACGGGTTATTAGTGGAGATAAAAACAAAGAATAAACATCAAAGTAAAAATGTTGACCAAATTGCATATTTAAATCAGAAAAGAGACTATTTTCTTGTTTCATGCTACTTATAGGTATATCATATACGATGCCTTGTATTTTGTTTGATCATGAGCATTTTGACAACCACATCCATTTTTTGAGGACAGTATTGCAAGCAGTTATTTTATGAGCTGGACGACTACATCTCCAAATAAAAACTGCAAGATTTTCAGAATGTCTCAGAAATTATTCTTCAAGAACAATTACAAATTTTAAAAACATGCTCAACTGATTGTATTACACTGCTGGTGTGCGCTGTTTATAACTTTACTAGCTTAATCTATTTGCTATGTTGTGTCTGCACCATAAAGAATCTAAAGCAGGGATTTGTTGTTTTCTTTCAGACTATTAAGATCTTCTAGTTTGTCCTTTTTTATTAGCTGTTTTTATTTTTGACGTTGTCTAAACACATTTACTTTTCATGTAAATAATTAGTATATTTTACCCTTTTTTATTTACCTATATTTACCTCTTGTAAATATTAAATGTCACTGAACAACTCCAACCACCACTTTTTTTGTTTTATAACCACATTTACCAACCATTTATGTACTTTGAAGCACTTTTTCTGAGTTTAATTTAAAAAAATTACACGCCAACATAAAGGATATGGACGTGCTTTGACACAAAAAGTGTATTGAAAATATTTCATTTTCTGTTAGATTCAGAACAACCACCTGAAACAAAGAACGATCTAATTTTAACACTGATCGCATCCTGTCCCTGTGGTCCTGTTATCCCTGTCTCCAAGGGTAAACAATTATAGTCTGACAACATATTTTCTAAACCCTGGTTACATCGTTTGTGTAGTAAAGTAGTTGTGTTATAGTCCATCTATGACATCACTCACCACCTGTCAAATTAAAAAGGAACTAAGTGAAAAAGAGGATGGGGAGTTATTAACTGTTCGTTTGGTAAGAATGTTTTAACATTTACTTGAACATACAGATCGCACTCGAAGAAGACTGCTTTAGAAAGGTGTTCAAGTGAGTTATAAACTTCCTTCTGTATTTCAAAGTATGTGCTAGAGCATAGTTTACCTTCCAAAACAAAAACAGCTGATCGATGATAAGTGACTAAATAAATAATGTACATGACAGCCCCACTGGCTGTTCATTTCTGACTATGTATCCATTGTTAGAGCGTCTCAGTCACAGATTATAACTTAAACACATCAGCAAAGCTAAGTTAACCAGCTAGCCTACACTATTGCTAAGTGGTTGTCGTTAGCATGCTAAGTTAGCATATCGCTAGCTCACGAATGACCCACTGCAATAACCAAAGAAAGGTGACAACCGCTGAATTACAAAACACTACAATTAAGCGATCCAACAACAGGTAATGCCGAGCTGGAATTGGTCATATCTGCACCCACATATCCACATTCAGCGGTCAATTTCCCTGGCTAACTTAGCGCTCCGTTTGGAAGTAGCTGCAGCTGTAGCAGCAACATTCTGCTGGTGCTAAAGGTTAACGACCCGCTGTGTCACGATAAGGAGGGAAAGCAAGCGGACACAAAGCGCCTACTGGACGATAACATCAAGACCGACCCATTTGACGGGAGAAATAACAAGGAAAAATCCGCTCACCGCATTAATTTCACTTCGCTTCGTTAGATCCAAGATGGCTGTGTGTAGCACCAGCCGAAAGAGCCTTTACTCTCTGACCTCGCGACCTGCAGACCACTTCCGTACACAAAGCTGATCTCCTGTGTAAACACTGTACTTCAAAAATGAGTTAAATATTTCCCTCCTAATAAAAACGTGAAGATTTCTAAAACAAATTTCATATGATATTGATGCACATTTTTTTCTGGGAAAATGATTTTTGTTATATCAGTATGAAGCTGTCCCTTGTACTGCAGCAGAACCAATAATGCCATTTCAAAATATTTTATTTTAAATAAAAGATTTCCATAAAGAATCCCACTGAAGTAAATAAGTGTAGCATACACTATTTTATTTTAACTTCACTTAAATTCAAAGAAACATTTTACATGATTATTGCTGGTTTAACTTTATTCTCCCCTCATCAGCAAATTAAAATGTATTAAACATTGGGAGAAGATAAAAAAAAACATCAATTCAATTTTTACCTATGACGTAATCAGTTTAAAAAGCAATGATAAAATATTGACTGTAACCAATATTTTATATTTTAAGATCGTTAAATACTTCAAGGTCATTTTTGAAGACAATGCAGATGAAGTGTACACACACACACACACACACACACACACATATATATATATATATATATATATATATATATATATATATATATATATATATATATATATATATATATAATA